GCGTAGCTTATTTTGAGTTAAGCCCTGCTGTGTAGATGCACCCTAAAGGTGCAATTTTTGCATGTTTTCCAGCAAATAGAGTGCAGAGCCATGTCTGATGGAACACAGTACAGAGCATGCAGGAGGTTAAGCTTATCAGTTGTGCACCGCTCTGCCCTTTAAAGCAGGTTCACCGTTCCTCAGCAGACATTTGTCAGCATCAACATTGGCAACGACTTCTCAGCACAAGAACCAAAGACTGAAAGAGCAGAAATGCTGCAGATCAGAACGAAGTCACTGGCAGACCCGACTCTGGGAGTTTGGACAACAACTGCCAGCAGTGCGCAAAGCTCTAGCCAGGGTCATCAGTCACTGACTTTTATGAGCAATAAAACTGACTTCAGTATAAAAAGAAAATAGCGAGACAAAGAGAATATAGAAGCAGAACTGATGTGCTGAATATTAACAAGTGACTAGAGAGGAGCTATGAGATTACACACATCCTTTCCCCTTATGCTAAGAATTATTTGCATTCTCCTCCTTCATAAAGGGCACAATCGAGCTAAAATCTTCATCTTACGAGAGTATTTTGTTTCCAGTGTCTTCTTGGCTTAAAACCAACCAACAAACAAAAACCCCATCCTGCAGCACACTGGCAGAACGATATAAGAAGCTACAAGCACTCTTAAGAAACCTCCTCCAAATGGAAACAGACATCAGAGACAAGCAAATGCTAGAGATGTAATACCGAGAATGCTGCCTTCACACACAAACTGTGGAATTATGTAAACTTGGCAACATGTAAAGCAAAGAGCGAATGCGTTGCTGGAACAAGAGGAAAATTTCCCATTACATCTGTATAAGCTGGATTCTCCCGGGTCTGACTCATGAAGATGATTTTCCTTCTCCTCACAAACTAATTTCTGCCTGTTATCGTTTTCTTGTGCAAGGCAGTATTGTGGTAGTGTTAATCGCAGGATATTAGAGGGATAAGTTGGGTGAGGAATTATCTTTATTGAACTCACTTCTGTTGGTGAGAGAGACAAGCTTCTGGGCTTACACAGAGCTCTTCAGGTCTGGAAACTCACCTTTGTTTTACAGCTCAGTGTAAACATAAAACTTGTCTCTCTCACCAACGGAAGTTGGTCCAATAAAAGATATTACCTCACCTACCTTGTCGTTCTTGTGCAGGGTAGGTCAGAAGAGCCAATACAGGACCTGAACAGATTTCAGAAGTTTCCGATGCTCTGCAATCTCTATCTGGTTATATTGGCATAAAAACAGACCATCCAATTCCACTTCAGTTCCTTTGGGTATTTCCTTACAGGAGCAAGTTATTACACACTGTGACGTAGTGGGGGTACTTGCTGGGCTGTGGTGACCCCTGCTGTCTGGAGCAAGACCCAGCAGGGAAAACCTCACTATGCAAAGGTAGTGCCAAACTTGTTGAACCAGTGGCCAGACACCCCCCATGGAGAGGAACAAAGGAAGGTGGAATGCTGCCCTGACTGGGGGGCAGGGCTGGAAGGGAATTTAGTTAGTTCCTCGCTGGAAGGCAGGGTATAAGGAGCTGGGGAGGGGGCTGGGACTCCCCTATCTCAAAGGGGGGGCACTGAGGCCTCTTAGCCCCAGTTCCTGTAACCAGATTACATCTGTGCTGTGCTGTATCCTGGAGAGGCAATAAACTTCCTCAATTCCACTGGCTGGGGGGGTCTGTTTGTGGCATTTCGGGGGACTGTATGCTCCAGGCACGGGGAGAGTAAGGAAGGGCAGAGTTACGGTGCCTATGGCTAAGTGGGTCTTCTGGGACGTGATTTGCCTGAGGAGAGGGTGAGCTCATGGGAGAGGGATGTGGCCAGGGATGTTCCAAGCAAAGGGGCAGGGCGGAAGAAGACAAAGAGACATATGGGGCAGGGCAGGGGAGGGGAAGAGGCTTGAGTTTGGTGTCATTGGCAGGATTGCCAATGGCAAATGTTCAAAAATCACGAGTCAAGCTCTCCCAGAATCTTGAGATTGGCTCTAAACTCATGAGATTATCGAAAAATAATCAACACGTGGTTTTTTAACCTTTTGGGTGCACTGGGGTCACATTTTGAAGCTGCCTCCACAGCTGCAAGGGCTAGAAACCAATGCTCCCTCTCATCTTTCCCATCCACATGCAGATTTTTCCATGCATGTGCAGAATAATTTTATGCGCACTGAGGTATATGCGGATGTGCACCACCAGTAGAAACAAAAAAGTCTCGCTGTGGGCTCTCTGCTCATCAGCTGAGCAGCATTGCAATCCCTCCCACAAGCACCCAGCTTACAGGAAACGTTTTGAAGCTGGAAGACTGAAATCATCACAACTCCCTATGACTCTAGGAGCTGGAACTTTGAGAAAAACTCATGACAACATCAAGAGCGTTGGCAATGCTGAGGCCTTTGCACTAACGCTGAACATAAGAACATAAGAACGGCCGTACTGGGTCAGACCAAAGGTCCATCTAGCCCAGTATCCTGTCTGCCCACAGTGGCCAGCACCAGGTGCCCCAGAGAGGGTGGACCGAAGACAATGATCAAGCGATTTGTCTCCTGCCATCCCTCTCCAGCCTCTGACAAACAGAGGCCAAGGACACCATTTCTATCCCCTGGCTAATAGCCTTTTATGGACCTAACCTCCATGAAATTATCTAGCTTCTCTTTAAACTCTGTTCTAGTCCTAATGGGATTGCTTCTCATAAAGCCAAAGAGAAGAGAGACAGGATTGCCAAAGCAAGTTCAGTCCTCAAATATGACATTACTGAGCGGATCTTGAGACGGAACCAAGGTGAACCGGAGAAATAGGAGGAACCTGGAATAGATTGCTTCTCAGTAAACCTTACAGAAAAGAGAGAGAACAGAAATTTGGCATAGTGCTCTGTGTTGGCACAGCTTAAGATTTGAAAACTAGAAGAGAATATTATTGGAAGCCAAACTGACTACCGCCTTTTTTTGTTAAAACATAGAAAACAAGAGTTCCCACTTACATTTTTTTTACTAAAATTAGCATCATAAAAATAGCACTGTCTTTTTGAAAAATAGAATCATTTCAATAAAGCATATATATCTTCCTTTTATCTCCTCCCCACCCTGCAATAATTGAGTTCAGGAGCTGAGCAATGCTGGGGAATCTGCCAGTGATCAATAAATCCAGTGTCTTTATTAAGACCCTGATTTTTAGTGTATAGCAAAATTGAGTTTAAGCTTCCCAGCTCATCATTAGCTCATCTGTGAAAGTAGCTGGCCTGTAAGTGAAATGGAATCCCAGCTGGGATCTGTTTTTTTTTACCGTGTGTAGCCAAATTAGCCCCCATCATACTGTACGTATAGTTGGGGTTATTTTTCCCGATCTGCATTACTTTACACTTATCCACATTAAACTTCATTTGCCATTTTATTGCCCAATCACTCCGTTTGGTGAGATCTTCTTGGAGTCCCTCACAGTCTGCTTCTGTCTTGACTATCCTAAACAGTTGGGTATCATCTGCAAACGCTGACTCCAAACACCTCCTGTCAAATGTTGACAGCTAAATCCAGTAGGCAGTAAACCGGTGAGTGGTGCTTACAGCTAGTGGCATGCGTTTCTACTGGTGGTGCACACCTACATGTGCCTTGGTGCACACAACAAAATTTATTCTGCACACGGATGGAAACAATTTAGAGGGGACACAGCTCCTGACTCACCCTCTGCATCGCTGCGCTATTGTAATGTCTAGCGGGTCCTTTAGCCTGCCATTCTAAAACTGAAACCTGTCTGAGGCAGTCTTAATGACTGCGTCCACTAAGCATTAGACTAAGTGGTAGCTATTTCCAGCACTCCAAAAGTAATTGCCTTTAAATGTCCCTCTTAGGAGCCTGGCTTGCCCAGCCTTTATTTAACTGGAGAAGCTGGAAATGTAAATCTTAGGGAATAAATTTAAATATCATCAAACTATCCCCCTCATCCCCCTCCCCTCCCAGCCCTGACCTGAATGTATCCCTCTTCCCTGCTCATCTCCCAGTGTTTTGTCCCCTCCCTGTCCCCCAGCCCTTCTGGGCTCTTCTTTTCCTCTCCCAAATGCAAATGGCCTTGGAAAAATCCCACTTCTGGGCCACTGCTCCTCGCGACTGCGCTAAGTGCCCCTGGACACTGATCTCTCCTCTTTTCCTCAGGCCAGGTCTACACAGGCACTTTACACTAACTTTCTGGCTCAGGGGTGTGAAAAAACACCCCTCCCCAAGGGCAGCAAGTTACGGCGCTCCGTGCGAACCAGGCTACAGCGCTGGGCACGGCGCTCCCAATGCGTTAGCCACTCCCCTCACAGAGGTGATTTACATAGAGCACTAGGCCGGCCTGCCAACAAGGGGCGGGGCCAAGGGGCCATTGTCGTGGGGCCCAGAAATTCAAAGGGGCCTAGGGCCTTGGCTGCTGTTGCCATAGTAGCAGTGGCCGGAGCCCTGGGCCCTTTAAAATTGCTGCCGGAGCAGCTCCAAATCTATGAATTTCTGCATTTCTCAGAATTGCTGCTGTCTGTTTTCTTTATTTGCAAATGTCAGGAAAAGGCAAGATTGTACCCAGTGTGGAGACTGGAGGGAGGGGAGATTTTCCTTTCAGGGGTGAGCGGTCCCCAAAGATGCATGAAGATTGCCTGACACTAGTGATGTTAGTCCGATGCAAAATTGGGATCTATCTGCCCAGGAAAGCAGCTTCACCCAATTTGCTATTCAATGCTTTAATGCACGTTTATCCCGGAACTGTATTCCCTCAGTTTCCCTGCTCTGTAAAATGGGGATAATGAAATATATAGGTGTGAGGCCCGACCTGTGAAAAAGCTGTGGAGACCCTCGGGGAAAGGTGGGGTATGAACACAAAGTTCTAGCATTAATATGAGCCCCTTTATTTCTGCTTCTGAACTATGCCTGTGAGGAACTGCAGCCTGTGTCGGATAATTCAGTTTTCTTTTTTGTTAAGGCTGCCCACAGGCAGCCTGGAGAAATTAACATTACTCCTCTTACAACAGGGCACAGCGGGCCTGGATGGGAAGAATGGAATCAAAGGAGCTAAAGGCGACCGAGGTCTGCAGGGTCAGAAAGGGGAACCGGTGAGTCTAGCCAAGAAAGCGAGAGAGGGCTATTGTGAAGACTGAAAAAATGGCTTGAAGCCTTTTTCAGTATTGCCAGCCTCCATTGTCCAAAAACCATGAGATTGGCTTTAAAATCATGCGATTATGTAAAAATAATCAATGTGTGGGAGGCGTTATTTGCCTTTTGCTATTTGAGACTTTCGGGTACACCAGGGTCGCATTTTGAATCTTCCTCTACTGCTGCAAGTGCTAGAAACGTGCTTTTTCCTTAAGAAAGAAGGCTGAAATCATCACATAGCCACACAACCCCAAGAGTTGAAACTTTAAGGAAAACAATGGCTATCGTGAGTCTCGCGGCAAAATCCCAAGAGTTGGCAGCACGGTTCTTACGGACCCAGATTTCTAGAAAAAGGAACCTGTAGCTTCAATCGCTGGCCCTCGGGTGCTTTTGTTGCTAATTACGGCATGACACTAGTGGAGAACTCTGAACTATGCCTTGGGCAGATTCTCCGCAGGTATAAATTGGAGTCGCTCCCTTGGACACTGATTTGCACCCGCTGAGAATGTGCCCTGAGTCTCTTGTGACAGGGTTTTAAATTTTCTCGTGCTGAATTCAGCTTTCGAGACATTTGCCTACATGTTACTTAAGATCATAAGAAGGCCATACTAGGTCAGACCTACAGTGCATCTAGCCCAGTATCCTGTCTGCCAACAGTGACCAATACCAAATGCCCCAGAGGGAGGGAACACAACAGGTAATCCTCATGTGATCCCTCCCCTGTCACCCACCTCCAGAGAAACAGAGGCTGGGGACACCAGTCCTACCCCTCCTGGCTAATAGCCATTGATGGACTTAACCTCCATGAATCTATCAGGCTCTTTTTTGAACCCTGTTAAAGTCCTAGCCTTCACCACATCCTCTGGCAAGGAGTTCCACAGGTTGACTTCCTGCCACAGTATCCACAGCACCTGATAAAATTGGTGCAGGAAGAATGGGCAAGAAAATCAGCCAGCTGCCAGTTCCACAAATTTTTCTAGGAAGGAGATTTTTTTGTTACGGGAGGCAAGGAGAATTGTGGGAGCTTTCTTCTGCAGGCAAAAAGTGACTTTTCCTCTGGAGCAAAGGAGCTGTAATTAGTATATGAGCTGGCAGAGACTCGCTAATAACTGGTAGCAGTAACAGGGGGGGGAGGAGGCAAGCCCCAGCCCCGCCCCTTCTGCCTGAGGCCCGCCCCTAGAGCCAAGCCCCGCCCATCCCCAGCCTGATCCTTCCTGGCTACTTGGAGCGCTGGGGCTGCCATGCCACAGCTCCATCCCTTCCTGATGGCTGGGGGGAACAGGCTGCCAGGCCATGGGCCCAGCCTTCCCCAGTGGCTGCCCCAGCCTTCAGCAGTTGGGCGTGTAGGCACTTTTGGAAAGGCTGTGCCTACATTACCGACCATTCGTGACAGCTAGGCTCTTTCCAAACCTCAGGACACTCAAGGCCAGAATGGTTTGCTGCTCCATTGTGGCTGGGATTTCAGCAGTGTTATTCCAGTCCTCTAGCTATCAGGAGCCCCTGTTCTAGAGTTACCATAAAACAAGCTGCCACCCCATAGATAGGGACAGCCCTCTGTCAGCCTCTTCACACGCCAACCACATTCTTAGCAGCCCTGCAGAAATCAGTAAATTGCGATGCGAAGATGACGGAGAATAGCAGAGAGAGAGTCACTCTGGGATCACTTTGTGTGTCGAGTATCCTCTGCCGTCAGGTGTGTTCCATCCCAGAGGAGGCTGCATTTCCATGGGGAAGGTGATCCTTTTATACAAGCTTATAAAACGTAGCAGAGCCTTTGCGGGAAAACGGGCAATATAGATGCTATCAGGAGAGCTTGTACTGTTAACTTTCTAATTGCGTATCTTTGTGAATACGTCTCAGAAGGGTAGCTGTGGTAGTCTGCTTCTGCAAAAACCACGAGAAGCCCTGTGGCACCTTAGGGCACGTCGTTACAGCCGGGCAAAAGTTGAGTTAAGCGACGCAACTTCAGCTACATCAACTGCGTAGCTGAAGTCGAAATAGCTTAATTCAGCTTTTGGCACTGTCTACACAGCAGGAAGTCAAAGGAAGAACACTTGTCCTCCGACTTCCCTTACACCTCGTGAAATGAGGGTTACAGGAATTGGAGTAAGAAGTCCTCCAGCTCGCCATCATTTTGAAAAATTGTCAGTTATTCGGAAATAACACTGCTGTGTAGATATAGCCTTAGAGATTAACAGATTTATTAGGGCATACGTTTTAGCAGGTAAAACTCACTTCATCAGATGAATTAGAGTGGACTTTACAAAGACAGGGGTATATATATTATGTTAATGAGGCTAATCAAGTCAAGGTGGAAGTGGCTCATTCACAGCAGCTTCTTGTGGAAATGTGAATATTAAGAGAGTGGAAATTGCCTTTGTGTAGTGTGTTAACCAGTTAAGATCCTTATTCAACCCTACGTTGATTGTATTGAATTTGCAAATGAACTCCAGTTCAGCTATGCACGCACACACCATGGCTTATGTGTCATTTATTCAGGGCGGGAAAGGTGATCCTGGTATAACAGGCGACCTTGGCCGGAAAGGATTAAAGGTAAGAAATGGCCATCAAAGAAATAATGTGTACCTTGGCTGTTCCCCAGAAGGGGGCGGGCGGGGAGCAAATATGAAAACTGCTTGGCCTGAATGAGTGTAGAAAACAGCAAGCGGACCATTCCGCTAGGTAGGTAGATGGCAGGTGAAGAAGAGAGGAATGCAGAGAGTTTACAAATCATAGGATCATAGAGTCCTAAGGTTGGAAGAGACCTCAGGAGTCATTGAGTCCAAACTCCTGCCCAAAGCAGGACCAACCCCAACTCAATCATCCCAGCCAGGGCTTTATCAAGCCAGGACTTGAATGCCTCTAGGGATGGAGATTCCACCCTCTTCCTAGGGCACCCATCCCAGTGCTCCCCCACCCTGCTAGGGAAATAGTTTTTCCTAATATCCAACCTAGACCTCCCCCACTGCAACTTGAGACCATTGCCTGCCCCCACTGAGAACAGCCTCTCTCCATCCTCCTTGGAACCTCCCTTCAGGTAGCTGAAGGCTGCTACCAAACCCTCCTTCACTCTTCTCTTCTTCAGACTAAATAAGCCCAGATCCCTCAGCCTCTCTTTGTAGGGCATGTACTCCAGCCCCATCATTTTAGTTGCCCTCCGCTGGACTCTCTCCAATGCGTCCACATCCTTTCTGCAGTGGGGGATCCAGAACTGGACACAATACTCCAGATGCGGCCTCACCAGAGCCGAATCAAGGGGAATAATCCCTTCCCTAGATCTGCTGGCAATGCTCCTCCTATGCACCCCACTATGCCTCCGAATTCTTCCTGCTTGTTTCCCAGCAGGAAGGCTCTATTAAGCCATGCATGAGTTGGTGCTGGCCCTTTGCACAGTGGGGAACAGCACTGTGTTTTCTCCTGCTAACCTTTACCCGCGGGTTGTCATTTCTCTCCAAGGGCTTGCGTGGTTTTCCTGGGCCGACGGGGAGCCCCGGTGCAGATGGGATAAAGGTGAGGTCTTTTTATTGTTTTCCTCCTTTTGACTTTAGGGTTAAGGGAATTCAGCGCCAGTGAAGGGGCTGTGCATGGCAGTGAGGTCCTCCTCGTTACTAGCCACCGGTCAGACACAGCACTGGGCCGTGACAGATCCTGCCAGTCTCCGTCCCAGCCTGGAGTCGCTGCCTGTAGGGCTGAGAGCAGACGTCACATCCCATTAACCACCCCACCCCCTTTCTAATCTTCTGTTCCCCACCTGCTTCACTTTTCACTCTCTTGTTCCACACACAGGGCGAGATTGGCAGCCTGGGGAAACCGGGGGTCCCAGGGTCAGATGGACAGCTGGGGCCAAAGGTGAGTGGGAAATGAATTCCCCAACCCTCAAGTCCCTCTCGGCAGGCTTTCTGGGCACAGAAATGGCCCTGATGTAACACAGTCTGCTTTGAAATGGATGCAGTCCAGTCGGCGCGAGCTCACGTGTAGACGGGCTTACACCAGTTTCAGACCGGTTGGCGTTAGCTTCCATGCAGTTGGTAACCGCATGTAATTCAATGGCTGCAAATTTCAGACAGTTTACCGGGGCTAATGAACCCTGCAGGGAACACCCTTTCTGAACAGCAAAAGCTGAATGTTAATATCCATCCGCGAGCTCTGGGCTTGGTTCCTGATGTTGGTTTCCTTTCCGCATCTCCACAGCTGGTTGGGGGTGGGGAGGGCCGGTGACAGGTCAAAGCATTAGTTGGCTTGCTCTGAGCACTTGCTCAGCGCCTGATCTGGAAGCCCATAGAAGTCAATGAGATTCTTCCCACTGGTTTGAATGGCATTTAACCAGACCTCCATTGTGGCATCCAAAGCTGGTAACATGCCAACCAATGTTCCCTCTAATTTTTTCCATCCATGTGTGGAATAATTTTTTCTGTGCACCGAGGCATGTGTGGGTGTGCACCACCAATAGAAGCTGCTGCAAGCTGTCAGCGCTCTGCTGATCAGCTGGGTGGCATTTTAATTTCTCGGCTTACAGGGAACACTGAGACCAACCTATCTGCCGCCAGTGATCCACCCAGGCAGAGGGGTTGCAGAGGGAGTCAGACAGACAGACAGACCCTGCATGTGACTCATCAGAATGTCTCCTGGGCTAACCAAATTCTAGTAAATGTGAACTGCAACACTCAGACTCGAGACGGCCCTGCCATCGGAGGGAATCTAGCTAGCCATGACATCTAAACAGGCCTGCTGACTGGGCGGGGAGGGCAAAGGAGCATATTCTGAATAGGCTGGGGCAGCAGCAGGAGCAGCTGGCTCTCCAGAGCCTTTAAATTGCCACGCCACACGCTCTGGACTGCTCTGAGGATTGGGAGAGGGCACGCCATTATTCAGGCAGTGCTTGGGGTGGGCTTCCTCGGCCCTGCCCCTTCCAGGAGCATGAAGCCAGCCCCCCACACACAAATAGGGTTGCCAGGTGTCTGGTATTGACCCAGACAATCCGGTATTTTCGCCTCCTATCCAGAAAAAAAATTCAGAAAATACCAGACACCTAAAATGTCCGGTATTTTCTGGTTTTTTCCCTGCCAGGAGGCAAAAATACTAGACACCTGGCAACCCTACGACACACTCGGCAACTGGGCCCGGCCTCCTGACAGCCCCTACCCCCAAAAACCCTGCTTACCTGGTTCTGCAGGGAAGCTGTGTTCTGGCTTGATCAAGAAAAGAAAATGGCCGCTGGCAAAAAGCCTAAAGATCAAGGGGAAGCAATTTTGCCTTCCCTGGGTCTTAGTGCTCAACCTCTCCCCTGTTTCTATCCCTAATCTGCATGCACTGAAAGGGACATGCTGTTTTAATGCTGTTTTTATTTTATTTTATTGCTTAATCATTCTTTTTTTTTTGCTCAACAGCTTTGGTCTCCCCCTCCCTCCCCCAAAAGAATTTTTTTCCCCAGTGGGTTTTTTATTTGGGGGGGGGTCGGTATTTTTGGTTAAATCATCTGGCAACCCTACACACACGCCTTGCCCATGGGCCCAGCACGGCTGTTGGCTCCCCTGCATCTAACTGAGTTCCTCCCGCAGTAGGAGCACCAGGGCCTTTCCAAACCGCATGTGCATTTGTAACTGAATTACAGCTCGCTTGGTAAAAGACACACAGGGCAGGGAATTGGCTTTGATTTTTCTCTTGTCTGTCTCCAGGGTGAACGAGGAATGTCAGGGGCAGACGGCCCCGTGGGAGTTTCTGGGGAGAAAGGAGAAAAGGTCAGTCTGCTCCAAAGACCACTGCGAGGCCATGCTTTGAATGAGCCATCAATCCCACGGAGTTAATGAAGTTAGACTCCTGCTAACTCTCGTGTGCCCTTTTCCGCGGGCGAGAGGCCCCTGTCTTAGGCATTAAGCATCGTCTTCACTCTGGGGGCGCACTTAATCCTTGGGCTGGTCCGGACACAAAAGTCACACTGCTTATCTAACCCGGTGTAGATAAAGGGGTACAAATCCCCCAGGGTACGTCTACACTGCACGCTATCCCGAAATAGTTACCCCGTGTCTACACAAGCCGCCCGTTATTTCGATATATTTTTCAAAATAACGGGTGCGCTATTTTGCCATCTCGGTAAACCTCGTTGCACGAGGGATACGGGATGGCTCGAAATAGTGTGTTATATCGAAATCTGGCCCTGTGTAGCTGCGCCAAATTTCAAAATAAGCTATTTCAAAATAGAGTCGAGATAAGATACGCAATTTGCATAGCACAAATTGCATACTTTATTTCGAGTTTAGGGTGCTGTGTAGACGCACCCCTAGCAGGGACACAGTTCTAGCAGAGTAAAGGCACTTTATCCCCGCACAGCTGTTCCTGGGCAGAAAGGAGAATAAGCAATACGGGGATAAGGTACCTTCATGCTGATAGAAATGTGTCCACACGAGGGAGGTACCACTAGAATGGCTTTGATAAAAAAAATTGCACCTCTTTAAGCAACACAGTTGCACTGGTACAAAATCCACATGCAGGTCAGGCATTGGCTTTAGCCCGGGTCTTGGCTGCCAGATCTTGATGCTGGTCCCAGCTCCATTGCTGTTGGCCCTGGCAGGACTCCCCACCACCAAGTCTCCTGCCACTGGGCTCCTAGGCCAGGAGCTGTCTGGCCCAGGACCCATGGATGTTGCAGGTCCAGAGAGTCTTAGGAACTTGTATTAGGAAAATCTGTCTATGTGAAGGGATGAAACCGGTATCCAAGGAAGGCTGCGGAAGCCCCGTCACTGGGGGTTTTCAAGACATATACCTGTGAGGGATTATCTAGGTTTATTTGGTCCTGCCTCCTTTTAATTGCAGCTGCCATAGGGAGGCAGGATAGCTCAGTGGTTTGGGCATAGGCCTACTGAACCCAGGGCTGTGAATTCAATCCTTAGTGAGGCTATTGGGGGAAAAAATTTGTCAGGGATGATACTTGGTCCTGCTGTAAAGGCAGGGGATTGGACTCAATGATCTTTCTTGCCACCTTTATGGTGCATTTGCAGGGGACTGGATTCAATGATCTTTCTTGCCACCTTTATGATGCATTTTCATTAAAGCCCCAGCTCCCGGAGTCATGGGATTTCCTGAGAATCTCAACTTCCCTTTTCAAAACCAAAGCCAAGTTTCCGCCCCCTGTGGTGGAGGAGAAAAGCTTGAAAACGTGAAACCTCCAGGCTCACGCCCCCGAAAGCAAGTAGAACAAGCCCAGAAGGTTGTATTTCTAAAGCCTCATGATTTTAAGCCTAGCATGGGATTTCGGGAAGGAGTGCTATGCCAGGGAAGCATTTTTCTCAGCTCTGTTGTTTTATAACGGCGCTGGATTTATAATTTCTCATTAATAATTGTGCACGCACGAGCACGTGTGAGTTTAGTGATGGTGAAAGGGGCCAAGTAGACGATCTTCACCCGTATTTATCTCATCACCATCACTAGTGCTGTTTTCTAGGGATAAAAAGAAAGTTCAGCCTCTCAGAACAATCAGTTTCTGGCTTCGGTAGGGAAGCTCTCAATGGTGGTTTTTAGCACATTGGCAATAGTCCAGTTGGAATAACACTGAGACCCACTCCCCACCCCCAGTTCATTTCATGCAGGTCATTTAATCAGTCAAGGCATGACTGCAGTTTGCTGGCAGTTTTATCATGGTCTGCAGCTTAGTGCCGAAAGGACGCATACTATTACAGCAAGTGGGCAGCCAGATGTGCTGCCCTGTGAAACTGGAGGTTTTGTGTTTTTTGTAATGGTCCCAAATCAGGACAGAGAACCAAAATTTTAATTTATTTTTTCCATGCACTGAAATTCCAGAAACCAGCTCATTGCAGGTTAATTGAAACATTTCGTTTATAACTTTCTGTCCTTTTCCTTTGTCTAATAGACAATGACGTTTCAAAATGAAAAGCCACTTTGAAATGAACACGTGAAAGATGCATTGGAAAAAGATTGAAACAGGATGTTTTGTCACTTTCAAAATGTGTTTTTTTCCTAAATTAAATTTAATCAAAATTGAAACCATTTGCTCTTCCCCCTCCAAAAAATTGGTTTTGTTGAAATGACATTTTCCAATGGGAAACTGTTGTGATGCAAATTTTTCAACTATCTCTGTTGTATTTCCAGTGGCTGGTCTCTGCGGCTGTTCATTCATTCTTTCATTCTCTGTAGTTGCAAACTACACCATTATCTAGGTATTGCTCCTTTTGTATCCTAGAGAGTTTTTGACATTAAAAACAGGCTTTCTGTTCACTTTTACATATTTTTTCTCACATTACAAATAATGCCCCTGAATTGACTCTACCCTTCTCTAGTCTAATCGCTGTGTTATTATGTGCAGTGGAAATGTATCTGAGGGAGAATTCATGCTGGCTGTTTCTCTTGCCAGCCTTAAATGGTGTTTCTACATGCTCCTATTGTCAAGACTTTGTAAAACTCAGTCTGCGGTGGGGAGAGGGTTTTAACTCGGAAATCCATGATACGGACAAATGGAGCTCTTGAAATCGGAACTGCTCGATGCAATGCGGATGTATTCCCAAATGCCAATAGGGATGCAAAATATCCTGTTTAATTAGTTAACCAGTTAAACATTAAGTTTAACCAGTTAAGCCATGAAATGGGCAGGAGGGGACAGGCTGGAGAGGTCCAACTACCCACCATGGGTGGATTGGAGCAGCCCTCGCACTGTGGACAGAGTCTGCTTTAGCCCAGCTGTTTCCTGATCTCAGCCCATGTGGGCTGGGAGCCAACAGCCCTGTGCAGGGGCCCTGTGGGACTTTTGTTCACAGCAAGCCGCAGGCAGGGGCTGTGCCAAGGTACCGGTTACCTGTTATCTAGTAAGATTAACCTGTTAAGGGTGATGCTTACTGGGTAACCAGATAACCAGTTACCTGGTAACATCCTACGTTACCCACACAATTGTCCAGGCTACCTGTCTGTCTGCTATTAACCAGCGAAAGGACAAGGAGAAGGAAAGAGAGGTACAGCAAGGGTGAAGGGAGCAGGATGAAGAGAGGACGAGAGAATCGTTTGCCTGGGAAAGGAGACGAATAAGAGGGGACATGATAAAAGCATGTCACACAATGACCGGGACAGAGGCAGTAAATTGAGAGCGGCTTTCTCCCAGGTTCATTTCTCAAGGACAAGGAGACGTAACATCAAAGTGGCAAATTCAGAACTGAGGAAAGGAAGCAGGTCGGAGGAGGTTTTCCTTGGGAGCCGATTACCCCCAACTCCTCCTGCGGCGGGTTTCTTGCATTTTCTTCTGAAGCATCTACTCGAACTGTGTTGGACACAGGACTCTGGAGTAGGGATGTAATAGCGGAGTCGATTAACTGATTAACCGATAAGCAAAAGCGTATAGGTTAATGCTATAGACAACACGCATTTCCCTCCCCCGATCCTAGCTAGTAAATTTGTTAGCAGGCTGGCCAGAGGCCCGGCTCGTGCCAGGTCCAGAACTTACCCCTGCTGTGTCTCTTCATTTCAAGTGTATTAGGAGCCAAGCCAAGCAGGCAGGCAGCCCAGCTCAGTTCTGGCTTGCGCCAGGTCCAGGAGCTCAGACCCCCTTACACAGGGGCTTCTGCCACCCCACACTGCTGCCTCTGCCATTCTATTGTCCCCGGGGGCAGGGGCAACAGGCAGCCTTCCCCAAGAGGAGCTGGTTTTTAAACTGGCTCCCCTCCTGGACCAGCTCCCACCTGTCACCCTGCGCTGCTGCCTCTGAGACCTGGCTGCTGGCCCTGCCCCCGGGGACAATAGACTAGTCAACTAACCGATAAAAATTCATGAGGTTGCTCGACTATTCATTTAACCGATATCTAACATCCCTGCTGTGGCGTGGATGGACCCTGGCTCTGGACTAGCCCCTGTGATCCTGTGAAAGAGAAGAGGAGCTTTGTACTTTCTTCTGGCTAGTTTGCTTTAGACGTTCTCGCTTTTGTGGCTGGCCAGCTCCTGCGAACGCCTCCTTGGTATTGCGGCCACGCACGCGCTTATGCAAGTCAGCATCCGAGGCGCAATTAAACGGAGAGTGGCCGGGGGTCACCTGTGCTAATTGGGAAAGCAGGCTCCGCTGGGCAGGGGGAATGCGTGGCATTCATCATGCCGGGGGCCTCCCGTCTTGCTCCTCCAACACTCAGTGACCCAGCTGACTCATCCGCCGTCTCATCCGGCAAGAGAGCCGGGCTTTGGCGGGGTCCGGAGGATGGGAAAGGCAGCGGCTCTCCCTTCATCAGAGCTTAATGTGACTCTCCCTTGCTTCCGACGACGGGCTTCTATTTTTAGTGTTCCAAATAAGCATCCGCATGACTTAGAAATGCAGCCGGGCTGCATCACGGAGGCCTTCCCCTCCACCTCCTTCCACCTCCTCTTCTCTCCTTGTCCCACTTCTGGGGAAATCTCATTAGTGCTCATTAGCAGGCATTTAACGGCTCAGGTATTGGTAATGGAGCCTTTCCATCTCCGGGCTTGCTGACTCATCCAGCCTAGGCCCCAGGGGAGTGAGAAATACGTTACCAGGCCGGGTAATGAGAAATGAGCTGGACATCTCACTTTAGTGCCCAGCCCGTGGATGGCATAGACTCATTGAACCATAGAACTGGAAGGGATCTCGAGAGGTCATCAAGTCCAGTCCCCTGCCCTCACGGCAGGACCAAGCACCATCCAGATCATCCCTGACAGGTGTCTGTCCAACCTGCTCTTGAATATTTCCAGTGATGGAGATTCCACAACCTCCCTGGGCAATTTATTCCAGGGTTTAACCACCTGACAGGGAGGAAGTTTTTCCTAATGTCCAACCTAAACCTCCCTTGCTGCAGTTTAAGCCCATTGCTTCTTGTCCTAGCCTCAGAGGCCAAAGAGAACCAGTTTTCTCCCTCCTCCTTGTAACAACCTTTTCTTGAAAGCTGCTATCATGTCCCCTCTCAGGGTACGTCTAGACTACAAGAATTCTTCCAGGATACCGGAGGTATCCCAGAAAACCTCTTTCATGACCAGGGATGTGTTTGCTCTTCCAATTTTTTTTTTTTTTTTTGCAGAAGAGCAAACGCCCTTTCGGAAGCCCCTGCATTCTTCATTCTACGTTCCAGTCTAGATGGGCCTAATGTCGGAAAAGCCTCTTGTGATGCTGTGGCAAAAAAAGCAAACATGATTCTGGGATGCATTAACAGGTGTGTTGTGAGCAAGACACGAGAAGTCATTCTTCCGCTCTACTCTGCGCTAGTTAGGCCTCCGTTGGAGTATTGTGTCCAGTTCTGGGCACCGCATTTCAAGAAAGATGTGGAGAAATTGGAGAGGGTCCAGAGAAGAGCAACAAGAATGATGAAAGGTCTAGAGAACATGACCTATGAGGGAAGGCTGAAGGAATTGGGTTTGTTAGTTTAGAAAAGAGAAGATTGAGGAGGGACATGATAGCAGTTTTCAGGTATCTAAAAGGGTGTCATAAGGAGGAGGGAGAAAACTTGTTCATCTTGGCCTTTGGGGGTAGAACAAGAAGCAATGGGCTTAAACTGCAGCAAGGGAGGTTTAGGTTGGACATTAGGAAAAAGTTCCTAACTGTCAGGGTGGTCAAACACTGGAATAAATTGCCCAGGGAGGTTGTGGAATCCCCATCTCTGGAGATATTTAAGAGTAGGTTAGATAAATGTCTATCAGGGATGGTCTAAACAGTATTTGGTCCTGCCATGAGGGCAGGGGACTGGACTCGATGACCTCTCGAGGTCCCTTCCAGTCCTAGTATTCTATGATTCTATGACAAAAGGATCGGAAAAAGCTACGCAAAGTGCAGAGAGCATTTTGCGTAGCTTTTTCTGAAAAATAAATGTCATCTAGACATATGCTCAGATTCCTCTTTTCCAGACTGAACAAGCCCAATTCCTTCAGTCTTCCCTCATAGACCATGTTTTCTAGACCTTTTCACCATTTCTGCGGGGTCTTCTCTGGACCTCCTCCGGTTTGCGGCACCCAGAACTGGACACAGTGCTCCAGTTAAGGCATAATGAGCACAGAGTAGAGCGGAAGAATTTCTTCTTGTGTCTTGCTCACAATGCTCCTGTTAATACATCCCTAAATGATGTTTGCTTTCTTGCAAGAGTCACACTGTTGACTCATACTTAGTTTGTGGTCCACTATGACCCCCAGGTCCCTTTCCACAATACTCTATCCTTGACAGTCACTTCCCATTTTGTATCGGTGCAACCGTTTGTTCCTTCCTAAGTGGGTAAACTTTGCATTTGTCCTGGTGGGATTTCATCCTATTTACCTCCATATCACAAAGCAGTTCAGGGCCCAAGGGGTGGCCATGGTGACCACTCTCACAATCGGCACCTTTGTTGGCAACTTCTGCAGAAAGGTCGGGGATTGAATGGGCCAGGGAATCCGAGGACTCTCTGAGCCCCAAAGACAGGCGCTGCAGAATGCGGAAGCATGTCGGCAGGGCAGGCACTGGCAGGCAGGATGGACTAGTGGAACGGGCATTTGGATGCTCAAGACCTGAATTTAAATACCGACTCTGTCACAGACTCCCTGCATGACCTTGGGTGCATCCCTTAATCTACCACCAGTCTCCAGCTATACAATAGCAGGGCCCTGCATCCTGGGGGGAATTGGGAGGATCAGGACAGCTGTGAGGCGCTCAGTGATGGAGGGGCGGATGAGTCCCTCGCTGGTTAGTCGCTGGTCTGTGGATAAATAGAGGCATTCAGATGCCAGGGCTGGCCATACTGCACCTTAGCAGAGGGTGTGCCCACCTGCCCCTGGCATTGACAGGGGAAAGGAGATGGGCATTGCTAGGGAGTTTTTCCTACCCCCGGCTGTCCCTTAGCATAGGGGGCTCTTTGGGGTCAAGTTTCTCTGAGATAACGAGGTTGCTCCGGGTGGTTAATCAGACGTGGGTGTATTTGTCCTGCTCTTTAGAGAGTGCCGCCAAAGGTGAGTCCCATTGACGTAACTCTGTAGTTGCTCGGGGTGGTTAATCAGACGTGGGTGTATTTGTCCCGCTCTTCTGAGAGTGCCGCCAAGGGTGTGTCCCATTGACGTAACTCTGTAGCAAACGCCAGGAGTGGTTTGTCTTTGCACGAAAGTCTCTGACCCAATCTCTGTTTGGTTTTCTCAGGGAGCCAAGGGGGTTCCTGGCTTGGGCGGCTTTAAAGGGCAGGTTGGCCTGCCAGGGAAGGTTGGTACGGCTGGGCCCCCTGGAGCTCCTGGCCCGCAGGGCGACCCGGGACCACAGGTAAGACATTCTAGGAACATGCGCTGCACAGTTCACATCACTCTGGTCATTATCTGGAGGGGTGTTAGCTAGCGAGCTTAGCCCAGCCTGATAACCCCGGGGGCCAGTCACTTACAGCCGGCTTTTCTGGGAAGCTGACAGCCATACCCCCAACTGGTGTCAGCTTTTAAGAGTCTGCCATAGAGAGAGCCTGGCATGGGTATCATAGGCAGGCCCAGCCCTGTGCCCTGCCTGCTGGCCAGCTCTCCAGAGCTTCTGGGCCGAGGCAGTGGGGACCACATTGTCCGCTGGCTCTCTGATGCTCCGGGAGGTGCTGCCCTGGGGCAGGGAGGGGGCAAGATCCAGCAGCCATATTGAAGGGGAGGAGGCTGGGCTGAGGCTAGCAGGCTTCAGTGGTGGGGACCATGGGCTCTGGTGGGCAGGCCTGCCTCCCCAAGCCTTGTGGTCGCTCACTGCCCATGGAGCCTGGAGCACTGGGTGCGAGATCTGAGCTGGGAACCAAAGTCAGGTGTGGATTAAAGCAGAGTGCACTCTTTGACCTTGGCAGAAGTATTGCTAATGTAGCTGAACACAGGCAGTCCTGAGGCAAAGCCAACACGCCAGGGCTGTCGGAAACGGGGATTGAACGTGGGAATCTTAGAGGGCTAAAGCCATGTGCCTCTACCGCATGAGCTAAAAGCCAGCTGCTTCATAGTTATGGCCATAGAGCAGGCTTCATGCTCCTTTCTCAGGGATGTCAGTGCCTCTGTGTTACAGTAAGGCCATTTTCTAACCTTATTGGCACTGCAGCAATCAATCTTTCGGGGGTCGATCTAGTTGGTCTAGTAAAGACCTGCTAAATCAACTGCTGATTGCACTCCCATCAACTCTGGTACTCCACTGGATCGAGAAGAGTCAGGGGAGTCGATGGGAGAGTTTCTCCCATCGACGCCTTCCCATCCATGGACACACCGCAGTAAATCAAACTTAGCTGGAGTTGCGTACCTTAGTTCGACATTGCCTCCGAGTGTAGACCTGGTCTTAGAAGCCACAGACACTGAGTACATGCGAGAACACACTCCAGAAGCTCAGTCCACAGGCAACCTGGCCTACCACTAGGGAAGAGGCTCTGCTAGAAGGGATGAATAGGGACGTTGTGCCAGAGACACTGGGAGCATGATACAAGGGGGAGTAACAAGCACATGGCATGACACACATAAGATGGCACAAGAGTTGTTTGTCTCCAGCTCTAAACATTGGGGAGCCTCACCTTAAACCTTTGTGCACTCTTGGGGAGCACAGAAATTCCCACTAACTGAGCCGTTCCTTGCCACTGGACACTTGTGAGTTAGCGTACCTGTAACCACGGCGCCAGGGCACTAGTACTGTGTCGTGAAGGCAAAACATCTGGCCAAGGGCTTTCGTCACTGAACGGTGCAGGTGGTTGTTCTTTCTGGGATGTACACTTGAGGTTGGCTGTGCCAGCTATCTGTGCAAGGCCTAGGGAGAGAGCACAGACTCCCCTACTTGGCACGAGCGAGTGACATAGCCAGGTCTAACCACAGCCTTGTCCACAGACAGCATGGTCGGTATGTGGCGTGTGACAGAGTCTGACCTCACTAGTTGCCTCTAGGGCATATTTAAGTTTTAACCCAAGAGACAAACTTTAAATTGGCGAGGAGAGGGAAACAAATAGTTCAAGCAAAACTCTTCCCAAAAGGCTCACATGTGTAAACCACTTCAGCCCCCTTCCCTCTCCCTCCACCCTGTGAGCTACTGGCTCACTAAGAGGAAGGCAAGACTTGTGGTGATGGCACTAGTCTGGAATGAAGAAGACGCTTGACTCTGCCACCGACTCGCTTTGTAACCTTGGTCAAGTCACTTAGCCTCAGTTTACCATCTGTGCAATGGGGATATTGGCACCATCACCAGGGTGTTGTGAGGGTAACCATTGCCCATCACCATGGCAACAGGAGCCAGCTAGAAATTACCACTTGGAAAAGGCACTTATTGCCCATCACCATGGCAACAGGAGCCAGCTAGATACCACTTGGAAAAGGCACTTAGGTAACAGGAAGGTTGAGAAGTGAAGAGAGGCAAGAGAGACATTGAAGTCCTGCAGCCTCTCTGAGCTTCAGTGGGCTTCCACAGAGGCCATGCAATGCAGAGCCACTGGCGAAAGGACATTTAGCACAAAAGAAAGAGCTGAGGGGTGGCGTGGGGCAGAAGGTGTCTCAAACCTCGTTGTGGGAATGTGAGCTCAGAGAAGTCCATGGCTGCCAGCTTTCCTGCTGCTTTAACTGCTGAAGGTGAGCAGGATGCGCCTCCGCAGAGCTAAAGGACTAAGACCCACTAGACCAGGCATGTCCAAAGTCCGGCCCGCGGGCCAATTGCAGCCCGTGTTCCGGTTTAATACGGCCCCACAGGTAATTTGGCAATATCTATCTTTTATGGCCCCCAACGAATCCATATGTATTGAGATGAATACATTGTAAAATCTCAGTTAATGTCAGTTGGTCTAAATCAGTTATAAATATATTTGGACACAACATGTATACTTGGTGTTATGTTCCTGTTCATATTTTTTGAACTTAAAAGTTGACAGACAACCTTTATTACCAATAATATGTAATGTACTTTACAATGTTCCTGACATATATTTCAGCTTCCTGGATTTTTTTTTTCATCTGGCCTTCAGATATGAAAGGCAGAGTGATTTAACACCTGTTTAGATTTGTCATCCATGTGACGAAATGAAAAGTATGCCGTTTGCAATAAACTTTGCATAAAATAGTTAATTTGCATTTAATTTTAATGGTTCAAAGAATGTCAGGCAAAATGGTCGGCCCTCACACATGTTTACTTCATCAAATCTGGCCCTCTTTGAAAAAAGTTTGGACACCCCTGCACTAGACAGTTGCAGGAGATCAGCGCTCCTTTGCCACCTCCTTGCTCTGTGACCATGGGCACGCCACTTAACATCTCTGCATCAGTTCCCCTTGTATAAAATGGGGATAACAACACGTCCGTTCTTCCAGCCTTTTCCTGTCTACATTGTAAAGTCTCCAGGGTAGGATCTGGCACCTAAATAAGAAAGGGAAGCATGACAAATTTAAAGCTGCTAATGTGGTGAATGTACCCCGACAACCTTAGAGGGTTGGGGAGTTTGGGGCCTATATTTCTGAAGCCATTGGCTGCTTTAAAACTCTTTTTGTGGGCCATCTTTAAGATGCATCTTTGTAGACAAGACGCGCTGGGCTCCTTTGAAACATAACATAAAGCCTTGTAAATGAGACATGCGAATGCTATTTAGGAATGTGAACATCCTGCCCCCAGATTTTATGATAATGAAGAGCGCATGGCAGCATAATGCAGCGGAGGATATTGTAGATTCATGCTAATCAGCAACCCCCGGGCATCATTTATTAAACACACAAGAAATCTGCCAGTGAAACAGGACTAAAAATAAAAACATCCCTCTCCACTGTGCTGCAGGGAACGGCTGAGTTCCAGCCGTCTGCGAGACGATAAAGGGCGTGAATGTCAAAAGAATCAAGAAGAAGAGCAATGCTTAGAAAAGGTGAATGTCTGAAAGGCCAACCATGTCCCATAAGTTAATCTGTAAATAGGCATTAAGAAATGAGTTGGTGAGGGCTCGCAGAATCATACAATTGCAGGACTGGAAGGGACCTCGAGAGGTCGTCTAGTCCAGTCCCGTCACATGATACGTTTCACACCAGAGCTGGCTGCATGTTGCAGATCAGTGGCGGTGAGCCTGGGTGCCCAGGATGGACCACACTGGAAATGTCACACTCGGTGCAGACAGCACGAAATGGGACAGACAGTTCCAGAGCTGGTGGTTTACTTTATAATTAGTTTCAAGATACCTCTAGCAAAAAATCTACTGTCGACCCAGACACCGTCCTCTTTAGGTTTGCAGCCCTGGGCTGCCATCCAAGCAGCATTAAGAAATGAGTTGGTGAGGGCTCACAGAATCGTACAATTGCAGGACTGGAAGGGATCTCGAGAGGTCCAACCAGATCTACCAGATCTACTATAGTAAGAGTTACTGAAACCCATGTGGGAGGTTCTTTCTAATCCCAAAGGAGCCGGCATGTATCCCCAGGTGAATACACTTGAATATCACTCTGTCAGCCGATCCTCAGTCCACTAACTGAAGACTTCAATAGGAAAAGAAAAGAAGATGAATGGTTAATCAGTCATACACGTACAAATGGCTGCAACGTCCTGTCAGGTTTGTATCAGTGATGGAATAGCTTGCTGGCTGGAAGGGTCTCTCCGATAGCTTGGAAGGTCGTCAGTTACAGAATCACGGACTCGTAAAAGATTAGGGTTGGAAGGCCGGGTAGCCCCATCTTCTCTGAAAGCAGGACCAACTCTAATTCAATCAGACATCTAGCAGGGATGATCTAGACCAGGGGTTCCCAAACTGGGGAGCGTGCCCCCCTGGGGGGGGCATTAAGAAATTCCAGGGGAGGCACGAGGCGACCCAGCCCCCCACCCCCGCCCTCT